AAACCCCTCTCAAGTCTGAACACAAGTAACTGGCTTCTTTCCTAAGAGAGCATAACAAACAACATATTTTTCGAAAATAAACAAATCTGTTTCCTGAATGACTCAAAGGATGACACGTAACTTCCCTTCATTTTGTTAGCACACAACCATCTCACTGAATCCTAGTTTAGTTTTAAACAGCTTTATTCAGAGGTACAATTGATCTTGAAAAACTGAAGTTCATATATTCTCAGAAAGTGCAAAAGTCAACAGATCTACAGAATAATCTAGTGTTTACATTTTACCTTAGAAGAACTCCTTTTATGACATTTGCCTATTCCACTGCCATTTCCTCTGTTCTTAGTATGGAAAGTCATGTAAATTTAATCTGCAGTGGTTCACAACTGTGGAACATCCATTTACAACAAAAAATGGAAATCCTTTTCTTAATTAAATTAAGAAAAAAAAATCCAACATAAGACTAACAAATAAGAGCATAACTATGCTCTTATTCCTGCCCCATCCCTCTAAAACTGCAAAATTCCAGAAGCACAGTCCAATCCACAACACAAATCTCCACAATTAAGTGTCCAATATTAATCTAACCCAGTCTCTAACCATAGTGTCTCTCACTTTAGTCTAAACAGTGAAATCTCTAATGCTTTCAATAAAACATTTTTTTAGTCTTATCATCCATATATATTTCCTAAAAACACAGTGAAATAAGTTTTTGTCACTTGGGTTCTACTGTTTGAAAACGTTAGAAGATAACTTCATAGCCTGGAATGATGAAATATTACCAAAAAAGAAAGTACATACTTCCATCATTTACAAAAACATTTCAGTATGTAAGCTGTGAGGACAGTTTAGCTCTCAAAAGCCCTAGAATAATAAATTTACTGGCACTTTTAGAAAACACCTGCCCCTTTGTGGGAAGTGTCTGGGTTATTTCTGCAGCAGTAACTCTACCTTCATCTTTGATTTTCCAATGGCAAAATTCTCCTGGTTACAGAGTGAAAAAAAATTCCTTTTGGAGCTGTTCCTCAGGGAGCCTTCATTAGCCAAACTAGGTGGCTGTTCAGTTTGCTCCCTGGTAAATCTCTAGGATGCAGGAGAACTGAAGTCATCATAAAGGAGCTCAGACACCTCATGAACAGCTTATTGGGAAGGATTGGACTGCAGGTCTGCTAAGGACCAAAGCCACAGGGTTGGCTGCTCACATGTCTCTTGCTCACCAACTCTCTTGTCTGGGGAGTTGGTATTGCCAGGAGGTTCAGAGCATGGCAGTTTGGTTCTCTGGATGTCAGCAGACAGTTCTGCTGAGTGAGATGCACTGTGTTAGCTCAGAAAACCCCACAGTTTCATCTGCTTTCTCTGTTGTCACAGGCAAATCCACCAGAGTTTAGTTAAAAGCATTCCTGTAACATCCCTTCTGTGCTATCCTTTTTCCCCTACCATTTCACACAGAACACAAATATTCCTGTCTCCTTGTCAGCACCCCACCACCACCCCTTAATCCAAGCAGAGTTAACTTAAAAATATATTTGGGCAAGCATTACAAGATCCAGTTATTAAAAAAATAATCAGGAAATGCATTTGTTCAACCAGTATCAACAGCCACGAGAACCTTAAGCATCCAGATGTTGATGCTTGAAGATGGTTGTTGCAGTGTGATGCCATTTCCTGTTTCAGCTATCCCAGTAGCTTCCCAGGTGTGGCAATACCTTCTCCCTTCCCCTTGCCCCCTTGCTAAGTGCTGTCAGTCAGTCTTATCATTCCAGCAGGGGCATCGTGTGGTTGGCAAAAGTTCAAAAGATGCTTCTCAGCCCTGGGGTCATTGTCCCCTGAGCCTTCCCCCCCTCCCACCTGGTTGGTGCCTCACCTGTCCCTTCCCTCCCCGTGCCCCCGAGCTTAAAAGACACGGACACCATGCGGTCGGGATTCTGTGGAGCTGTTACCAAGATTCAGACATATGTGACTCTGGAATAAAACTCTGGATTAAACCCTCTGCAGAATCCGTCTCCTCTTCCTCTTCACCTAGCCTGGAGCCTTTCCATCAGAGGTAAACTGAGTTCCTACCATGCCTGGACTTGTTCCAAGTGCCTAACTGCAGCATCCAGCCAGCCAAAGGTGTCTCTGAGGTGACACACCACAGCTGCCACCTTTGGCCCAGCAGCAAGGGTCAGACAAGCCCAGGCACGTTCCACCTGGTAATATTGGGATTTTGTTCCAATAGATGGTGATGCTCCAGCAGTCCAAATGACTTGCACCTGCAACAAAGTGCCTCTGAGGGCACAGCTGGTTCTTACAGTCAAGCCAAATGCACAACCCTGACTTCTTCTCATAAAGATTCACCCAAGAGAAAACTGTACTCTCTATTAGCCATTGTGTATCAGGGCAAGGGTAAGGCTATCCACAGCATGTATCAACACAAGACTTGGTACACATGGGAAGAAAAACAAAGCAGCACATCATAGATGGATTCTATGATTAAACAGAAATGTTCTTTGGAATTATCTGACAGAGGTATTAGGAGGTAAGGCCAGCCTGGGTGCTAGGGATGTTTGTTGACAGAAAAAGTCAAATGCCACAGAGGTGGCCAAAAGGCTGTGGGAAGTTACTAGCAGAAGAAAGAGCAGTTCATTAGCAGACTGACTGGGTAACAGGGCCCTGTAGAAGTCAGTGGATCCAGAAGAGGGCCACAAAAATGGTCAGAGGGCTTAAGCCCCTCTCCCATGAAGACAGACAGAGTTGGGGTTGTTCAGCCTAGAGAAGGCTCTGAGGAGAGCTTCTAGTAGCCTTTTAATAATTAAAGGAGGCCTACAAGAGAGATGGAGAAAGACATTAGGGCATGTAGTGATAGGACATGGGGCAATGGTTTGAAACTGCAAGAGGGCAGATTTAGATTGGACACACAAGGATGAAACAGTTGGACTCAATGATCCAAGAGGTCTTCTCCAGCCTTAATGGTTCTGTGATTCTATGAAATTCTATATGATAAGAGTAGTGGATACTGGAACAGGTTGTCCAGAGAAGTTGTGGATGCCCCATCCCTGGAAGTGTTCAAGGCCACACTGGATGGGGCTTTGAGCAATCTGGTCTAAGTGGGAGGTGTCCCTGCCCATGGCAGGGTTGGATCCACATGATACTTAGGACTCCTTCTAACCCAAACTATTCTTGATTCTAAGTACTAAGAAACATAAGTCTTCAAAACAGAGGCAAGATAGAGCCTGGAGTAAAATTTCTTAAGAAAGAGACTCTAAATGCTTATTTCCAGCTCTTGGAATTAATAAACTCATCGTATTATCCAAACTTTATCTTTTACCAGTGCACCTTACATTTTCTGTGCAGTGTGTCACTTAATTTACTTCATGATAAAAACAGTTCAGAATTTAAACATGGAAAGAATGGCAATTAGTTTCTCATTTGGGATAACATTCTGGGTTATCTGCACATCTACACAAATGCCACATTTGTTTATAACAGAAGATGACAACTAAAAACCTTACACTTTTAAAATTATCATTGAGAAATCAGTTCTGAAATAGACCAAAACTTGTGCTGATTTCACAAATTTAAACACCAATAAATTCATTATTTATCCAGTAGTATTTAAAATTGAGATAAGTTTACTTGAATATCTGAAGTCTGTTTCTTTCAAAAGAAAAAATGCTTTCTTCAACCATTCTGTAATTTTCAACCTAAAACTGATCCATAATGAATCAAATACTAATTTCCAAATATCCATTATTGCATTATATGACATGAAGATCCATGACTGGGATTCATTACAATACATATTTCCATACAGCATTTTAAAAACCAAAACACTAGTAAATTAAATTTTACAATAAATTATTAATTGTCAAATGCATAGGCCAGAAAGTAGTAAGCATGGAAACAAAGGATTAATTGCAAAAAGGTTAGTAAACAGCAAGATATTGCAGCTACCACAAATCCCAGAGACTGAATATAACTGAGAATACTCCACTGTATAATAAAAATGTGAAAGATCCACAAACTATTTGTAATAATGTACAGTGTTCTAGGTCTATATGACAATCTGTATAAAACACTAACAAATAATAGGATATTGCAATTGTTTTCTATAATAGAAACTTACAATTTATTTTTAAAAATACATCCAAAATAGAGTTTTCTAATTTAGCTGGGTTTCAAGACATTTAAAGTGATTCTCTTTATACAACAGCAAGACAAATACAGTGATACTGTATTGCTTACACTGAAACTGATGTACTAGCAAACCACAAAGGCTGAACAAAATGCACAGGACAAGTTTCAAAAACAACGGACTGACTTTCACTGACCCTGAAGATCACACAACAAGAATAAATGTATGACAGATAGGTTTGTAACTACGGAAGGTATTGCAATGAAGGAACTCTTGAAAAAAGTTAAAAATATAACAATTACTTGCACTAGGAACTTTAGCAGTATGAAACAAGCAACCTAAACCCACATGTGTGCAACATACAGTTTCATGAAAAATATTTAAACTAGTAAGCTTATTATGTGTGACAGTACTATTGTCTTTAAATTACAGGATTCTAAAATGTATAAAACCGTTTTTCCTTTCATGTGATTTATATTAAAATGATTTTTCATGTTCTCAGCATTGAAAATTTAAAGCTGTTGAAACTAAACTTCTCCTTTCATTGGCAAAGAGCTTTTGGTGGGTAAATGCCACAAATTGGTTAAATCCTGACAGGCTCTGAAAACTCTCAAGGCTTATAAAGATCAAAAAGTTGACAAGTAATTTAAAGTTGAAAAGAAATCAGAAAAATGATGAAATAATTTAATATCCATGGTGGATTAAGCTTCAATATTCACATTTTAGTTATTGTATTGACAGTAGTACTGACAGAACCCAGTAATATTAGCCAGTCTCTCATTCAGTACCAAGGAATTCATTCATAAGACTATAAATGACAATAAATCACACAGGTGGTAATGTGAGATCATGCAATCATAAAAAATAACTGTTAGAAACACTTAGGATCTCAGCTGAAGGTAGCGATATATTTCATTTAACTTAGAAGGAGTTATCTTAAAGCAAACAAAACAACAGAACCAGAACTTCACAGTTTGGTTTTTCCATGAGCTGTTACATTGTTCTTAAGAGGACTGTAATGGTTAACATGGATGAATAAGGAAAAAACATGTTGATTCCTGTGTTTTCCTGTTTTAAAGCTCCCATTCCTGAGAAAACCCCATTATGCCTCATTTCTTATCAAAAGGATGAATTTATAGTTTGAGAATGATTAATGAAATGATCAGAAATGATTAATTAAGATCCTGCTGAGCAAAGTGAGTAACACTGAAACAACAACCTCCTGTATGGGATGCATCTTTTAGATCATTATAAAGACAAAATAGATTAATTGGCAGGCAGCATAGATCAGCTGCATTCCACCTTTACATCAATCTTGAAAATTTATTATCATAAAAATGTAAAACTTTGGGGGGAATAAAAGGTCACTTACCAGTAGCCAGAGCTGTTTGCTATGTGTGGTATGTATGCACTTTGGCTCTTTGGAGGTCCAAATGTCAGAGGTATCCAACATCATAAAATGCAGGGGTTTTTTTGGCCCTCACAATATACAAACACCTGAATTTAAACAACCTCGTGAAACATGACCAAGGTTTCTGTGCTTATGAGTTAACACATCCTAAGCACATAGTCTTGACCCAGCAGTGCACGGTAGTTGCAGTCTATCTGTAAATGAAGTTAACTTGCATTCAAACAGACTAGGGCACAAAGAGAGGACAGGAATCCAGAGAAAACGGATTCTGAGGACATCCCCTCCTAAACAGGGTCCAATTAAAATTAAAAAAACAAACAAACCAACAAACAAACAAGACACATCTAGCTATGGAAAGGCAGCTAAATACCCATCAAGGACAGTAAAAACCTTGCTAGGGCATGCAAAATGTGGGCAGGAACGCTAAGGCTCAGATAGAACTAAAATTGGCCAAAGATGTCAAGAATAACAAGAAAGGTTTCTACAGATATGTGAGTAGTAAGCAGAAGCACAGGGAAGATCCAGAGCCATTGCCTAACTAGGCAGGGAAGCTACTCACTAGTCATGCTGATAAGGCAGAGCTTCTCAGTATCTTCCTTACTTTTACATCTTTACCAGCACAGCTGGACTGCAGAGCACTGGATCAAGTATCTACAACAATGGATGTGTCGACCCACCAGTAGGTGAAGAGCTAGTCTGCAGCCTCTTGCAAGGGCTCAACCCACAGAAATCCATAGGCTCAGAAGAAATCCACCCTAGAATATTAAGGCAAGTGGCTGACATGGGTCCAAGGCCACTCTCCTTAAGAAGTCTTGACAATCTTGATTAATAGACATTTCCCGTGCTGAGAGCAATCACTGCAAGATTGGACAGGGTACTAGATAGTTTGTCTCTTCTGGGGTCCTGCTCCCACAGAAGGCTGGACTGAAAGATCTCGCAAGGTCTCTTCGAGCAATAAAGATGGCTGAACTGAGGGATTCAATTGCTAAAAATTTACATCTCTAGATACGCTGATATTTTCTCAGCTGTTTCCAAAGCTGGACAGTACCACATGAGAGGCTGCATCAGCTGAACCTTTTTGTCAATTCTAAACAAAGAACTCCGTATTACACCTGAGGCTCAAGCTATGGAGTGGAAAATTTCTTCAAGGATGTGAGAGTGATTTGCATACTGTGCTTTATTACAAAGGAAAAGAGGTTTTTATTTTCATCTTACTATTACCTGGGTTTAAAAAAAAATAAATAAAAAAAATAAATCTGGAGAATATTAGAGTAAAACTCTTCCAAGAGTAGTGGAATGCCTGGAAAACTATCTCCAGCATATTCAGAAGTAATACGTTGTCAATTTCCTTTAAACTTTTAATGTAGAGGACTGTAAATCTCCTGTGCCTGCTAGGGTCAGAAGTGGGTTAGGGATAGCAAGGGACTAGAAAGCACAGTCAGAATTTCTGAGGAGAGCTGAACTGGAGAATGATCGGCCTCTAATCTGCAACTTGGTCCTACAGATCAAAAATGGGCCTCTAACTTGTGGGGAGAGAACAAGCACCTTAGGTTGGCAGCAACAGTCCTTCAAATTTACATACACTCCACTGATGAGATGCACACCTCCTGAGGTACAGGACAGTCATTTTCATACAGCTTTCCAGGAAACAGATAAAGAACTTGAACCATAGAACCGTCAAAAGGTGTAACATGAGAAGAACTCAGCTGCCATGGCCAGTTCCAACACAGAAAAGGCACAGCAAAGGCCCACACACATTGTTTCATGCCATCAGGGGTCCTAAGCACTAAGGGCTTTGATCTGTGGGACTGGATATGACCAATTGTGTAGTATGGTCCTCCACAACATCCTTCGTTCTGAGCTGGAGAGATGGATTTGATGGGTGGACTATTGGATGAGTAAGAAAGATGGATGGTCACAACCAGAGGGTAGTGTTCAGTGGCTCAGTATCCCAAGGGACATCATTGGCATGTGGGGTCCATATAAAGACAGTGTAATCATCTTCATTAATGACATAGATGAAGAGGTTGAGTGCACCCTCAGCAGATTTGCTGATGACACCAAGCTGAGTGGTGTGATTGACACACCTGAAGGATGGGATGCTATCCAAAGGGACCTGGACAAGCTCAAGAAATGGGTCCATGGAATCTCATGAGGTTTAATAGGACTGAGTGCAAGGTGCTGCACCTGGAGCAGCCCCCGGTATCAATCCAGGCTGGGGGATGGACAGATGGACAACAGCCCTGCTGAGAAGGACTTGGGGGTGCAGGTGGGATGAGAGGCTGGACATGACCCAGCAATGGCACTCACACCCCAGAGAGCCAAAGGTGTCCTGGGCTGCATCCAAAGCAGCGTGGGCAGCAGAGGAGGGAGGGGATTCTGCCCCTCTGCTCCTGTGAGACCCCACCTGCAGGGCTGCATCCATGGAGCTGTTGGGGCTCTTCCATGAGGAAAGGCTGAGAGAGCTGAGATTGTTCAGCCTGGAGAAGAGAAGGCTTAGGGTGACCCAGCTGCAGCCGTCCAGTACCTGAAGGGAGCCTACAAGAAAGATGGAGAGGGACTTTTTGTTAAAGAGCATGTAGTGACAGGCCAAGGGGGAATGGCTTCAAACTGAAAGAGAGCAGGTTAGATTAGATAGTAAGAAATTCTTTACTGTGAGGGACTGGAACAGCTTGTCCAGAGAAGCTGTGAATGCCCCATTCCTGGAAGCATTCAGTGCAAGGTTGAGTGGGGCTCCGAGCAACCTGGTTTAGTGGAAGATGTCCCTGTCCCTAGAGGCGGCTGGAAGTAGATGATTTTTAAGGCCTCTTTCAACCCCAACCATCATCTGATCCTGTGATTCTATGATACAGTCTCCGATTATGGAACTAGGGTAGAGAAAGATCCAAGCAGCTCAGTCAGTAGAATTGAGAAGAACACAGAAATTCAGGGTCAGAGGCAGATCTCAGGGCTTTTGTCTGGTAGTGATCCTTAGTTGCTGAGAAAAAACTACAGAACTCAAGAACTTTATAACCCAAGCCTCATCTTGTAGTCTCTTGGTGTTAGGGTGGCCTTGGAACTGCCACTGCAGAGTGGGCAAAGGCCTCCATTTAATCTGATCCTCTGGCTAGGCAATCTCTGGTGCAGGCATGTGTTTCTTGATTGGGTCAGGCTCTTCCTCACTCAGTTTTGCCAGAGAAAGAAAGGGGTCATGCTAAATAGAACTTGGCCTTGACCCAAGATTCAGAAAATCCTAAATGCTAATGTCTAGAGAAGACCATCATTTTCACTAGGATACTTCTCTCATTTTAAGCAGCAGGAAATAAACATGCCAGGGGTGCATAACTTGCTGTTGCAAAAGGAAGCAAGAAGCAACCACATGTCAGTGTTACTTGTCATGTGAGTCACATCCTCAAGACAGAAGAGCATTTAAACTCATCCTTAGATGGAGCTATGGAGTATGATTCAGGCAACATGCATGGAGGATCTAGACCCACTACTAATGAGTAAAGGAAAAGCAGCAGAGGCTATGCTCCCATATGGAAGGACACTGGATTTGACAAACTAATTTGAAAAGTAATCGTACAGGACTGGTTGGATAAGAGAATGACATGGCCAAAGGCTAACCGTAACAAAAAATAATGACATGGACAAAACTTGAGGCATCTAGAATGCCTCCATCACTGGGCACTGAGTGTTAAAGAGGGAGGGGTAGTGTGAGAAAGCTCTGAGACCAGAAAAAGCAGAAGTATGCTGTCTTTGAATGCCTGCAGTATACACTTCTCCGTTAGTTTTTCATAGTATAAAACAGTTGATGTCTACCACATTATTGTTAAAATATAGTATTCTGTTGCATCTGCAAAACAGTCACCACTGACTCTGTGCTGCTTCTCTTTTGATCAGCTGCATCAATGTTAACATCAGAATATTTTTAAATGTGAACGTCTTCCATTTCCCTGCACTTGGGGTATGGTATCCAGTGTTTAATTCAGCAGGAAACAAATCACTCTTCAAAATAACAGCCAAAACTAAGCTGGGTCTTGTCTGCATGGAAACTGGCCTTTTCAGGATGTTTGATTATGTATTTTTCATTTGATACGTGAAAAAGAACTAGCAGCAAAACACTGAAAACAAAGCTCAGAGAGGAAAGTTAATTTATTTGTCTAAAACATCAAACTAAGTTGAGATACCTTAGTTCAATCAAAGCTTCTTCAGTTTCCTCATAAGCCTGAACTTCATAAACAAATATTCCAAGTCCGTCTACCTACAAAAATAGGATGGACAATTCTTGACCTTCTTCAGATATCAAGTTAATTTACAAGTCCTTGAAGACAGATGAAGAACAGGAAGGGATCCTATATCCTAATACACTCCACCACGTTTCCCAAGTGTACTGGAAAGGAGGAATATGAGCCTTCTTTGGAAAGGTGCACTGGAAGGCTTATGACCATCTCTTGGAGACAGGGTATGCATTTACATCACCATGATTGCCATGGTACAGAATCCTGGACTGCTCCTTTTACACACCATGACCTATGATCTGAGAGTTGTAGTCTGCTGTCTCCATTCTCAGAATGTATGGGATGATGCTGTCAATCTGAACATTGCCAATCAGTCCTGCGAAGAACAGCTCCTCAGTGATGGCAGCACTCATCAGCCTGAGAGCAGGCAATCGCAGAAGAAGTCTAGATAGCCTGGAAAATAAATTTGGTGAAAAGTGTTACTCAGCAAATCACAGATTTTGGTGTTGTTCTCCATGATATTATTGGCAAAAGAAGAGAAAAAAATTACAAGGGACACTACTGGTCAAAGTTTACCATATCTAGTTCATTAAAGGCTTAAATATTTAAATCAGAATAGCATTAAATTTATGAACAGTACAGAAAATGTGCAAATGTCTGTCAACTACGTGTACTTATGTATGTTTGGATTTGAGACTAAATAAGGAAATATTCCAAATAGATGCAATTCAAATTGAATGCTACTAATATTTATTTTGGATATTGAATTTTAGAAAGTAATAATGAGATGAAAAATACTACACATAATATGTTTGACCACATGCATAATATTTGAAGTGCTCTAAAGGTAATTCCTTAATTTTAATGAGGTAAGAAGAAGATGTATATATCTATTACATGAAAAACTGTACAAATCAGTGATTCTGAAAAGAGAATCAATCAAGTAAGCATCTAAGTTTACAGACCTGTAGGTATCATCCGGATATGCCTTTGTTACATAGTCTTGGAACTCCATGTAAGCTTTTTCTTGAAATTTCTCAATCTGTACCACATTTTCTAGACCTGGGTGATCTGAAAAAAAAACCCCTCTTCTTTGTTATACTCGTTCTACAGAAAATTAACTAACATCCATACAGACTATCCAGTTGCCAACATAGTGAAATACTTATGTGGTAGCAGCAGCAATTTCAGTTTTAGTTGTGAACACTACTTTACCTCCTTATATTTCTCTTTCTTTACATTTATATTTTACTTAACTTTCCATAAATAAACTCAGACATTTGAAAGAGTTGAAACTAATTCAGTGCTTACAATGTTTATGTCAGTCTTGATGATACAATTCTGTTCTCTGTGGAGCAGTAAAACAGGATTGTTTCAACACACTGACACTTCCTGGAACACTGGATGCACAAGTAATATTTAGGTGAAACGTGAAGTATAAAATTAGGATCAGTGAAAGAAGCAGAATAAAAAGCTGTGAACTGTTTCCTAAGACATGTACAAAACACATTGAATCATAGAATATGCTGAGTTAGAAGGGGCCCATCAGTATCATTGAGTCCAACTCCTGGACCTGCACAGGACACCCCAAGAATCACACCATGTGCCTGAGAGCATTGTCCAAAAGCTTGTTGAATTCAGATAGGCTTGTATGTAGCAGACTGTTCTTTCTCAACCATTTGGTACAAAAATTTCTAATGTGCCAATCATAATTTTTAGCAGCGATTTGAACTTACTCAAAATGTAAGTGTTGCTAAAATGAAAGGACATCAACTTAACTGCCAAGTCACTCTCAGAAATTATTATGTAGTAATTCTGAACTCTCTACATGGTCTGTAATTTTATTATCCATCTATCTGAATGCAAAAATTTTACTGTCATACTAGCACGACAAATCATGTAGATGAAGAGTTAGAGTTGACATGCAAAATGCATGACTTCGTGCTGCTGCTTTTAGAGGCATGTCAGGAACACAGCAAGAAGTCAACTTCTGGAAAGAGTACTTTGCAGACCACTGCTTGTACACTTGCAGCCATTTAGAAAGATGTCAAGTTGTCTTGGCACACCCTTTACACTAATCTCCTTGTCCAAGGCTGCCTTGTGGCAATCAAACAGCTGGCTTGGCACAGCTGAATCACCAGGGCCTACTAAAGCAGAGGTTCTTACCTTAGGGCTCTGCTGCATGCACAGGCCAGCCCCATCCTGCAGCACAGCAGTAAAATCCCTGCAATTATTATTTCTGGCCTGTGAGTCATTGCCAGGTCATCCCTTCTGTTCAAGGTACCTCAAACATGACTTTCACATGTAGGAAGATTTTGTTATATGGCTTAAGGATCAAGAGTCTTGACAACACATTGCCATTAAAGCAACTACTCATTAGTAATGTGAATTTGAAAACATCAGCTAAAGAAAATTTCTCTCAATCATGTGACTGGACTAGAGTATTTTCCAAAGTATTTTTTGTTCTACCTTTTGTGTTGTCAAATATAATTGGAAGGACACAAACTTCAGACTAAACAAATAGGTAAATACTACTTTGCAAGTGTAAGGTTCCTCAAGAAGTATTTTTTAGTGTCTTATAGGATTGATTTTTCCACACAGGCCAGAGGATTCTATCATAAATCCTAGTGGACATAATTCTAAAAAAATGGACTTGAGGCATTCTCCCATAATTTTGTTTCTTTCCTGAAGTAACCTCTACCAGTTCTTTGTATAGGTATGCCATGAAAAGGATTATTTTGGGGTAAGAACACTTGCAGGAGAATTGTATCTCCTGCAAGTATTATTTATTAAAATTAAACCAGCAAACACCCTCTGACCATCCACTTAGAGAAAGTCTCTTCTGTAATAATGGTGTATTTGGAACTGTTCAATCTTCAGCAGAAAAGGAAAACTGCAAAGATTTTCAAGCATGCTTAACATTGTGTTTAAACTTAGTGGGTTTAATGGTGAGTCCTGCTTATCAGGAAACTGAAACTGTTGCAGTGCTAGAGTGAACTGTACAAGCAAACACACAGAACCACTATGCAAGACTCTCCTTGTCATAAGGACTGACAGCAGGATTATGTCTTAGAGTAAAACACCCAGAATCTGATTTTCCTAAGTGACCCACAATAGAAAAATATCACAATAGGAATTCCTCTGGAAATTTATCATCTTTTCTGAAGGGTTCTGACTCTACTTATACCACTTATTTGCATGAATGTCTGTCATCTCAGAAGTCTTCCATTACTGCTATATATATATATATATATATATATATATATATATATATATATGTAGGTAACAATGTAAGATATGCAGGGTTTTGTTTGCACACTGATGAATACCATGAATTCCTGCTGATGCTGCCATTTTACAGGTAGATATAGAAAAGATCATGCAAATCTGAGGGAAACTGCAAAGCAAGAACCTCACAATATATGAATTCAATATTAGAAAACCTGCTTAAAATTTACATTTTGGAAGTGTCCAAGTTCTAAAAGATTTTCTCACCTCAAATATTTTTTCTGTGTAAGGGTGAACTGCAACTGAATGCAAAAAGAAAGTTCTTCTTGGATCTAATAAACCTACAGAACTGACAAGAACCAAACACCCAGATCTCCTCCATGTCCTACACTACTGACAGGGGTCATTAAGATTCTGTGAGCATTTTAACATCCACTCCAATCTTTTCTACAGGATATCAGCATCTACAAAAGGCAGAACAACAAGATTAAGGAAGCTGCTGGTGCTTTTAACACATTCTAATGTGAAATGAACTAACTGAAGACACTTTCTAAATGTGAGAGTGAAAAACTCTTGGAGACAGAGGAAGTACTTGAGATTTGCACATTTTTCTTTCATCAAAAGAGTTGATTTGGCTTTGTATTAAATCTCAATTTTGAATGATAAATCTAAGGCCTGCAGGATGCTGATACAACACCTAAACGCCTTTTGTGAGAAGTTAATTCTGACACTTCCAAGTAAGAAAATTAATTTTGTATCTTTCTACATCCAGGCATATGGGATACACAATGTAATTACTCAGTAAGTACCTACCATAACCAGAGGACTCTTTCCTCCCTATTGTACACTAATCACCCAGAAGGGAAATAAAGTTATATTACCTTCACTTTCTAATGTATGTCTAGTAATGCCACTGAGAGTACATTAAGCAAATACTGTTTAGAAGACAGAAATAATAACATAAGTGAATGCTTGTGGTGCTCATTTGCCAGAAATGCTTATGCATTGTCTGTGTGGGGGAGAGGTGATGTTTCTGTAATTCTGAATGTGAGAACTGATGCCCAGATAGTTTTTCATATATTAAAATCCCAAGTTCAATCTATCTGATCTGGATGTGCAAGAGCAACACTTCAGAAAATTAAACTGCAGGTCTTTAGAAAATGTACTCCAGAAAGGAGGCACAGAATTAAAAGCAATAAATAAATAAATGAAAAGAAAAAAACCCAAAACAACTAAAAGCCTAAGTGGCACAGCCACGAATAAAAATCTACAAATAAAAAGAATCAAAGTCTCTCCCTGCAGAAGAAGTCCCCAAAGCAACCTTCAGTTATTTACATTAGAAGATTAACCCTCCTCTTCCTACAGTCCTCACAAACCTTCCAAGATTGCTCAACAAATGAGGCAGTAACTGCATATAATGAAACAGGTATGCAGAAATAAATAGCACAGATTAAAATGTTACATTTGGAATAATTACTTACCAGGACTGAAGAGGACAATTGCTTTCAAATATGCATATTCATACCCATCCAGACACAGTTTAACCATGCTGTTACAAAACTCTTGCAATTTGAAGACATGCTCCATTACTAGTCTTCCTCTGTCTGTTGGAAGCTTATCTAAATCAAGACACACGTAAGAAAAATTCCCAAGTTAACATGCGTGCAAAAATGTGTTCACATTGGAATTTAAAAAATATTTTTTATTAGATTCAAACAATGGGAAATCTATGCCATGTAAAAATTCCTATTAGGTCTGAATAATCTTGACACCAGCAATTAGGGAGTATTAACTCTCTTTTTTTCCACCTCTTCCAATTAGGCTCTTCCTGCTAATGCTTCCAAGTTATGAGGCATGGGCTAGAGCTTGAAATGACCAAGGAAGGAAGAAACTACTTATAAGTAAAGCATTACACTGCTAATGCTGACCTGTGCTCTGTGCCTAAGGATCAGGTGCCACATGGCAGGACCGTGTCCAGCTTTGTGGGTGGTTTAGTCAGAGACCATGCCACTGTTGGGAAAGGAGTACTATTCACTTCCCCTGATTTACACTGAGGGGAACGTGTTGGTGCAGAGCTGCTCCCCTTGAGTCAGCAATAGCAAAGCAGCCCCAAAACCCACAACCCATCCAACTAGAGTCTCTAGACTCCACAAACTTGGTATCTCTTGGAGATACTGCAGCTGGCAGACTGCACAACTGGTCTTTGCAGTCAACCTGGATTCCCAGTTTAAATGGCAGAAATATGTATTTTTAATAATGATAAAAATATGACTAGTTACTACAATACCCCTTCTGGTAAACATACATTAATATTACATAGACTAAAATTTCCAGATTCCATTTTTATCTGCTAGAGACAATCAGATTTGTTAGCTGTTCCAGTACATCTCACTATTTGATCCGTTTGTTTTAAGCTATTGTTATTTACAGGAGGATCTTGTGGATGTTTTTAAATCACAAAAACCCCTTGGAAATAATTCTTTAATTACCTTATCATAAAAGAGGCCAACCCAACTGATATGTCTTTCATTTAAATGAAAAATATGCCAAAGATGCAGGACATAGGATTACCAAGGAACAAAGTGTACTTAGTGGAGATCTGTTGAAGACTTCCACGTAGACTAAAACTAATACATGGAAGTCAACAAGCCAAGTTATCTAAAGGAACTGTATCACCAAGTCGGCATTTAGCTGCTTTGTGTCACAGCTATGAAGAACAAGGACAGGTGGGTCATTCTTTACTTTGTATCCTTCATACAGAGGAAACATATTCACAGTACTCCTGTGTTCTTAACACTGATGCTGCCCAAAATATTCCTAATTTGGGCTGATGATATTAACAGACAGCAGAACACTATTTGACAATACAAAACACAAAAATTAAAAAAAAAAATTTATTTGGAGTAAAATATTACCATAGCTGACTTTTGCAAAACTGCTAAAATATTCTATCTTGGGGACTGTAGTTGCTAGTATCCTTTTGTTTCAATACTAACATGAAATTCTTTAAACAGTAAATTTACAATAACAATTGAAGAATAAATAGCGAGCTTCTGTGCACTTCAAAGCTTAAAAAATATGAAGTAATTCCCCAAGTCTGGAATGTGCACAGTATACACCTTACCTTGTTGTAAACTGCCTTGAAGGTGATTAACAAAAGCAGCTAAGATCGTTGCCACATTCATAACTTGTGAGCATTGTGCTAGACCAAGCGTAAAAAGTTCATTCCAGCAGGCTTTTACTAATGATATGCTGTTATCCTGTCTATTAAAAAGCACAATAATTTAATAAAACCAGCCATTTGCATTCACACATTTTTTTAAATCTGAAGAACACTTCATAAAACACCAATCTAATTCAATCATTACAACCAACACCAAAATGAAGTTCTGCACCATTTTTCTTTGCATGCTAGAATTAAAATACCTTGTTTAAAGTGACTTTTATAAAGCAATACATTTTTGTTTAAGTGACCTAAAAGGAGACAGATTTCTATTACAAAAGCAAGCTGAAGTTACAGTAAATGACAATTGTCACAGTGTACTCCATCATACTAGTTTTCTTAGGATTTGGGACAACATTTGTGTGCATGGGCAAAAAAAGATTGCACTGTTCCTGTATTGTGGACATAGAACAGACTCATGGGTTTTGGGTTTTTTTTTCCACTTGAAAACTGATAGGTTGGTATAATTTTTTAATTAAAGATAGAGGTGACATGGAACATGTGTGATCAAGCTTCTGAGCTTCCTGGCTGCTACTGTCTGCATGCCTTTCAAGTTTGGAATAAGGTCTGAAATATGGACTTCAAAGTATAAATACCAGTCATAACGATTTATTTGCTGCAGCTTAAAATAAAATAGATCAATTCATATTCAGCCACTTTCATATTAGTAACCTAACTTTTAGTTATGCCAAGCAGCTCTAACTCACAGAGCTTAACAAGAGCTCAGTGCCTTAGAAAGCAAATCCCACCAGAAAGGAGCCAAATTCAGGTACAACTTTTCAGTTTTAGCCAGTGAATACAAATAATGGAAATTTAAAAGAAATACAAGATCTATCCAAGAAGAAAAGCATATTAAAGCTAGGATTTCAACTACAAAAATACAGTGGAATGGATTTTTAAAGAATGCAGATATAATCTTCAGGAACAGTTCTGATGATTTAGTGCAATCCTAAGATGCCAAAAGACTGGTGAACACAGACTTGTCCTTAACTGGATTACAAAGAGCTTACTGAGAGCAATATTTCCATTCTGATCAAGTTCTTGTTATGGTAGACACGATACTGTACATGCAGCTTCTGCACATATTCGTCACATCTTTGTTCATCTCCTTTAACATAATCGGAGAGACTGTGTTGAGCACCACTGACAATAGGGTGTACTGGCTACTCTTGATACGTGTGTGTAGGTAAAAATATCAACTACAGCATCTTTATGGCTGATCAAAGTTACACCAGAGCCAGTTCTTAACTTTGCTTAAGCAGCCTCACAAAACCATAACCAGCTTGTTACCAGCTTGGTGACGGTTTCAGTAGGAAACTCTTAAGAGCAAAGATGCCCATGCAGGAAGATGAGTTAATCAATATCTGGCATCATTAACTACATCATTAGGTCAAAGGCAACTATCCTGCTGTGACTAAAGGAGAATATTGCCTGAGGAGGAAGCAACCTAGGTACAATTATCCATCTTCCTTACAAAACCATTACTCATCATGCTCCATGAATTTCTCTTCAGTTTAGAAGTGAAATGAGTCACTCTACTGAAAGCCAAAATTATAGGATATAATGTACTCCAACTATAAAGGGTGCATTAATTTAAAATAAATCTCCACTTGAAAATAGTTTGCATTTTAGGTGCTTCAAAGAAAAACTGAATTTATGTTATTTATATACTGTTGCCCATGATCTTGACTGGGTCTATAAATGCTATTACAGGTGAATATTAACACTATTATGGCAGCTTACTCCTCCACATTTTTTAAGCAGAAAAATATTTTGTGAAAAAACAGATAAAAAGAGCCGGTGCAGATTTTTCTTGCTAAATCTTTTTGGAGAGAGAGGTCTTCTGTACCATATTTTATTTTTAAGAAGTAATTCCCATTTCTTATTAGAATACCAATTTGTACTAATTTGCAGTTGTCTCTCTGTAACAAAAACCTTTTGACATAATGTACTATGTCTATTTGCTATGCATTTTGTAATTCTGCAGGTCAACAATTTCTACCAGAACAAAACATCATACTTACCTATTTTTTTTACCCCTACTATTCTTTAACTTTATACAATATTCCTTTGTCCTTCTCCAACACAAAGGCTTAATTACACACAATGCTGTATCTTTCCTTAAAAAGTGTAGAATAATTTGGCTGAAGCATCTGAATAAACATAAATGGTAATCACAGATCATCCTGCTTTTGACAGCTTTCCTAGAAAAGGGGACAATCCCCCATTTTAAAAAAGGAATTCTCTTTGCTGCCACAGTCACACGCTATTTTGATATTGAATTAAACAGAAACACTGAGATGAGAACAAATTGTCATGATTTATTCACCATTTGTGTCAGACCTGATACAGTATCTTTATTTGTTTGATGTATCTTCATAAAATTACTTCTGAATATAGGATAAATCAGTTTTTCCCACGCAGTTTGGACATTTTTTTTTTAATGATGACCAGCAATGGACTACAAAATTGTATTAAAGTGATACACTGAATTCTGATGGAGAAGCAGGATGTTATACAAACTGTAAAAAGAACAGTTAGAATTACCTTATGGTTACAGGAGCCAATTATTTTTGGCAAATCTTCTGAAACTAGACAATTTCATTCTGAATGTCTGCTGAATCTAGCAAACCATTTTCTTCATGTAGGTTATTAAAGGCAAGATTATTACTACTAATTCACTTTATAAGGATAAAAATTTTGGGGATTCAGACAGGAGCTTCTTTTTGGTGATTGCCTGATAAGCAAGAGGATGAAGCATAGAGCTGTAGCTATTAAAAAGCTGATAGAAATTCCTATTTTCTCAAAATATTTTAAGAAGCAGCAGTGTGAGGGCGTTTGATTGTTTTAAATCTACTCATTTTTCTTTCAAAACCCTACCAAGTCCTGAATTTGGACTCAGATTGGGAGTAGTTTTAATTCAGAAAATTTACCTTACAATTAAGATTTATAACAGGTTTAATTAGTAGTTTTATATTTTTACAAGTCTCTGAAGAAGCCAGCAAGACCCAGAAATTCAAAAGCACATATGCACAACGTAAGTGAATAAATGGAACACTTACCCCAAAGCTTGGAAAGATGGAATGGAACGTGCCCAGTGCATGGACAAGAAAAGCAACCTGGAGGCAGACTCACAAATATAGTGAACATTAAGATAATCAGGCATAGGAGAAGGCATGGTGAGCTGCAAAAAAGAAAAAAAAAGAAATAAAAAGTAGGAAAAAAAGAAGAAAGTGTAAGAGTTCTTTTACTTTCTTCATAATACATTTAGGAAGAAATCAGTCTTTTGAGTTTCTTGTAAATGAAAAAATAAAATAAGTTATAATCCAAACAAAACTGAATGACTCCCTTTTGCATTATTAGCCACATCATTAAACTTTGTATTTAAATAACTACACAGCAACAAAAAAGACAAAAAGTTTGATTCGCTCATAGAGATTCATGTCTGGGACAAGTGGAAATAGAAAATCTTGAAACTCAACTTCTGAGACATTCTCAAAGAGAGAAGAATCGTTGTAACTGGAATGAAGTTGCTTACATTAGAGGAGTTACAACTCCTGGAGAGAGAGAGAATGTGTGTGTGAGAATCCTAGTTCACAAATAATCTTTTTTATTTTACTTTTAATTAATATTTTACAAAGAAATACAAGAGAAATCTTTTGATGTTTGAGCAAAATACCTAATACACAGCTTCTCACAAGCTTCTCACAAAAAATATAACCAACATGTATCAGAAAGGACCCTTCACAATGTTAGTAAGCAAAGTTAGTGATGTTACCTGCGTATGTGAAGACAGAGATTCGACCCAAAATAGCTTAGAACATGTAATTCTGTCTTCAGAAATTAATATTTTTTAATATAATGTTCTGGCTAATGCAGTTTTAAAGAAAATGCTGACATTTGCATTAGAGATGTTCATTTGAATGATCAAAACAGATGCTTGTAAGAGGGGTAAAGTTTAACCAAATGCCTATTACTGAGTTTTCAGGTGACCAAGCCTTTTGTCATATCTATGAAAAATAAGGATATAAAGGATGAAAAAAAATAGAAGGAATTCCTGCAACCTTGTGAAATGAGAAATAAATCCAGAAAATATATGGCTAACTAACACAGCAACTGTATTTAAGTCAATTACTAGCATGCTAAAATAGGGTATCTACAAAAACAAGAAAGTGACAGACTTAAAGGTCTCAAAATCCAGCTGCAGATTTCATCAGATCCACCCATTCAAGGGAGAATGTGGATGCTGACTCTGCTTCATGCAATGAAATGCTGACTCTGCTTCATGCAAATACTTTGTCTATGTAAATCCTTTTGTATGGCTTACCCAGTATTTTTAAGGTAAGTAACTATAAAATAACCAGTGCAGCTAAACCACTGCAGAGTGCAGGACTTTCTCCCAAACAAAGAACTAACCAGTGAACAAAAGCAGTTTATTAACTGGAAATTAATGCTAATACCTGAACAAATACTCCTCTAAGAAATTCAAAATAAAGCTTAGCCAGATCATTATTGAACATCACTATGTCAAAACAGTTATAAACAGTCAACAGTAAGAAAGTATTCAGTACCCTGAATGCTACATGAGCATCACTGAGTAGTGGCCCCTCTATTTCCACAATGTTCATGCTTGTTTCTCCACCAAGCAGCTGTCCACTGGTGTCAATACTTTCAGAGTTCTGGCATGCTGCACTCTCTCCTGGATTTAATGCTTTTGCAAGAGTATCAAATGCCCTGTAAGATCACAAACAAACAAAAAGAAAATTTCATTTTAGAGATCATTTCAGTTTAAAAGGAACCTGCACAAGTCTGAAACCTGTATATAGAAGTCTTTTTCAAAGAGTGAGATTTGGAAAATAAAAGTCAGTAGGCATGCTTTTCCTGACATTCCATCGAACTCTGAAACAAAAATTAGCAGCAGATCCTGTTTACACTAGTTGCCAACAAATTCACAGTTTTGACATATTGGTTGTGCTGCTGAATCACAGTTTGCTTTTCAAGATCTCTTTAGTGATGTTCACTGAGAGTGCTGGCATGAGTGTTTTGAGGACATGATCACCAGACTGCTGTTACAGTCACTTAGTGCATGTATAAATTGTACAGGCTTTATTGATATGAAGCAGAAACAGAGTAAGATTTTTGGTTTTTTAAAGTCATGAGTTGTAGTTAGATTTTTCAACTTAATTTGAAAAGACTGCTTCAAAATATGTAATAGAAAGTACTCCCATGCTTTCAATACAACCCTTAGTAACCTCTGCTGCATGGCAGTGACTCTTGGCTTTCACAAGCACAGATGCTAGAGGGCACATGTCAGGACAAGCACAGATGTATTCAATATTTGGCTGCTTGTTATCACATGTTGTTTTTCTGCTCATAAAAACACCTGAGAACTACAACTGACACACCTTCAATCAAAAATACAGACTTCATCACTGCCTACGGACAGATGACAAATCCTGGGAACAGCAACATTTCTATACAGTGTTGCATAAAAAACTTATGCACTGAGGCCAGAAAACTTTACAAAAGCTGATGTATGTAGTGCTCATTCTCAATTTATAGACGTGTTTATTACCACAGAGTCTAAAATCACTGATTTAATTCCAAAATCTGGCGTAGAACTTGGCCAGCTTCTCTACCCCCACACTCTCTCTAGCTACATGAATTCACTAACAAGCTAAAAAAAAAAAAAATCTAGCTGTTTAACATGACTATGCACAACCAAATGAAATATCACAGGGAAAGAGCTGCTGACACTGCCTCAAGGCTTGGGATGGTCAATGAACTCCTTTTTGGTCCTCACTAGCCTGTGTACCTTGATGTATATACACCAGGGTGACTGGGGCATACCCAAGTGCACTATACAGACATACCTGGGCCATCTTCTGTCTCTGGTATGCACAAAGTTGGCACAAAGGGAAGGCATTCATGGCTCAGCTCTAGAAACTATACTATGGACTCCTGCTAGAAGATCTGAGTTTCAGGTCTTCCATAATTCAGTCTGCAGTCTTAGGTAGAACAGGCAAACACAGCAGCTCAGTGACAGCTTTTAAAGAAACACCAGGATCTCTGCAGGGTTCTTCATGTGGCAGGAACAGAAATTTAAGAGAACAAGACTTCCCCTTTCCCCAAAAGGTGCATGTCACATGCATCTGTCACTATCCTGTATTTATTCTAGCACAGACTGAAGAGTGCTAGAAAAATAGTGTGGGCAGGTACACTTGTTAACCATGTCTGCCCATGACACTTTCCTCCCAAGTCATTCTTCAATGTTGCTTTCAAAGAAATCTTCTCCCTCCTAGCTCATAAACTGCCAGTAGTAAGCCAGCAGACATCAGTAGCAGCTTTGCTTCCTCGTGGCTCAGCAATGTGAGTCCTTTCCTACACAAAGCCCTACCATGAGCAAGGTCTGTAAGGTAAAACACCATGAAAAGGAGAATCTAGAACAAAGCTTGCCTGGGAGCTATAAAAATCTAGCCCACAGAGTGAGAAAACGAGGCATAATCAACATTAAAATACATGGTATTGATATCCTTTGCTACAGATAATTTTGGTTCTCTTTTTGTCAGGCTTGGTCATCAACAGATATATAAGACTGCAGATAAACTGTGAAGAAATAATATCATGAAGCATTAGAGAACAAGGCACATAAAATTACAATATAAAAGCAATGGATTGCTTGCAGCAAAACTGAAACAGTACTGCAAGCAATGAATAAAATACATGAAAAGCATGGATGGATGAAAATTGCTCTCTGAAGTCCCTTAAACTGTTCTTCTTCAATAAACATCCACATCTGTAAGCTCATGCTGGCATAGGGCCTGACAGGGAACTCAGTAATTTAGGAAATTTTTAGTTTCTCTTGGAATAACAACTTCCCTTTCACATCAATATTTAACTAGAACCTCCCCACTGTACAGCTATTAGGTAACCTACTTGACAAGAGTATGTCAAGTCAGAGCTCTTTCAAGCTCTCTGGCTGAGAGACCCAGATGCCTTTTATAGACAGACTTGTAGAACTGAACAGAAACCCTGAAGTTGGTAAAAATAAGCATCTGGAAGTCCCAGCAAATGAAAGATTACTACATCTCTTTGAACAGCCATAGTACTGAATGATGGCTATCAGCACATGTAACAATACCACTTACACAGCATATTCTAACATTCTTTACTGAAGAGGACACAGCAAAGGCCCAAAACAACATCTATAAGAAGTCAGACTGACTTTCTAAGCAGTATATAAAGAAAGGAACAGAAAAATGTAATCTGCTTGCAATTACACAAAGCAGTAGAGACCACAAGGGAAATCAGATTTTTCAGCCACTACATGCCCACCTTTTTCCCCTAAACAGATTTACTCCACACACACTCTCAGAACAGAATGTAAAATGTGGGTGGTGTGTAAAAGAATATTGCTGGGACAGCAGTCAGAATCTTGCATGAAATGACAACCAAGGAAGGACAGGATTGTGATTGATGGAAAAACTGTGAATGTTCTGTATATACATCTTACACATATACTTACCACAATAGCTCAGTTAAAACCAGTGCTGAACACAAGTTTGTAAGATACTCAGTGAATGTATTAATATTGGTAGTGAGAATTCTCTAACTTCTCTTGTGTAGGAGGAAATTGCTTTTCAAGCTTTTAAGGTGATTAATAGCTACAGGCACTTAACACAGATGAGATCTCTTAGGAACAAGTTTTCCAGGATGATGCAAAGTACTAAGACTATAGTACAAGACCTAACTAAGACCTACCTTAGCATGGCCAACCAAAAGGTAAGAAAATCAGCTCTAACATTTATACTTTCAAGTACAACCAACTAAAAGGATTTATTTCTCTAATGGAACTTTCTTTTAATTTCACTTGGAAGAATCTTACATTTACCTTCTACATGAGCTTACGCTGATATTACTATTACTTTTAAAGCAAATAAATTTCCTACATTGTAATGATTTAACTAATTGTCTGGTCTGAATTGACAGAGACCTTGAAAAGGATAGTATTTTTAAGTGTAATATGCCTTACCTTGTAACATCACTACTAGCTTGTTCTTCTTGCTTGAGTTCAGATAATGATGCATCTCCATTACTCAAATTTTCAATCATGGATAGCTCTGTACTGCTTTGTGACACATCTTTGCATTTACTGAGATTTGCTAATGAAGTCACTACATTTGCCAGTGTACTTAAATCTCCTTGACATGCTTCTACCTAAAGGAAAAGAACAGCTTTTAATTCTCAGATAATTGGCAGCAGTAAGCCTGCAAGAGAAGAGCCTAGCTTTCACATAAATAAAGAATAGAGCATATACAAAGATCTACCTGTAAGAAAACTGTTTTCAGTACATGAGTAACCACAATACAGCCATCAGACACTACACTGCATCAAAAATATGGAATATTTTGACATTTACTTGTAAAAGTAATAGCTATCTATTTCTTTCAGAAAGAATACTACTGATGGTAAGCAAGTGCAGAAAGATTTCACATCTCTATGCAATAGTCTATCACCAGGAATATAAGACTGCTCTAGATTATATTTTTAGCATCTTCCTTCGCTATGTAAATGAGTCAGTAGTAACAGGGGAGGAGAATGAGAAGAAGGAATGCATGAAAAGTCACCTTTATAAACAAGCATAACAAGAATTATGCTGTAGCCTTTTTGGTGTTTACGTCTTTGTCAAACTGCAAAGGAAAAAAGTAAATCAGTGCTGTCTAGCAACTCAGAGAAGCAGTAAGATGTGTCCCACTCTATCCCAGCAAAAGAAAAGAAAAATACATTATTACAGACAAGTGTGCTGCTGCTAACACCAGACAGATCAAGCAAAGCAAAATACATGAAAACAGTATGAGGGTGCTGTTAGTCACTCCTCACACAGGGTACCTACCATTTGTTGTCACTCACCCCTAAAACAGGGCACCAAACGGACAGTGGTCACATGACTGACACCAGTGTCAGTCCCTTGTTATCTAAAAACTTCCCCTGATTGACAGAGGACTCAAAAGATTAGCAGCAAAGATGGTAGCAAGCATCAGCAGTTTATTAAAGCCTTCATACCTTCTCTCTGTTACAATCCCACAAGCAGCACCAAGCAATATAGACCACGTCCTCTCACAGCACAACTGCTAGTTCTAACACCACCTCTCTCCTCCTAACTCTTTATACCTTTTCTCTCACATGCATAACACCTGCCTGCCCTTTTACTCTTTTGTGATTGGTCAATACACATCAGCATTCCATGCTTCTTCTCCTTCAGTGCTGGTCACCTGTCTTACACAGCTGCAACTTATCAGGGGCAAGACTGCCTGCAGCACTATCTCCATTCTCCTACAATCCATTCTCTCACATGAGGTAATTTAGTATCAGCTAGAAAAACACAAATACTGTGCATATGGGAAGAGGCTACCACATGACTTTAGTGGATCAGTAAGTGCAACAAAATGGAAACAAAGGAAAAACAGATCATAAATAAAATTGTTGATGAGATAAATTTTATCAGTTTTGCCAAAAAATAGTGATTCAGGAGAAAAAAAATCCAACTGTATTTACACATGGCACTGTGATAGTGTGTAATAGTGCCATAAGAAGTTGTGAACACTTCACTTTATTTGTCTAAAAGAACAGGGCAAGTGTCAGGATTATCCCAGAGCAAAAATTAAAATAATACTGCCCTTAAGGCTCCTAAAAATGTGAAGGAAGGGCATTTACTTTGTTGTATTTTCAGTGTTTTTACTGTGTGATGCTAAGAGGATTCTTGTAAAGAGAAGACATTTGTGACAGTGGTGAATGTTGTAAAGGAGTGTTTTAAAAATTAATTTAACCAAATAGAACACCCTTCTCTCCTTACATATACAATTACAGCAATTAGCTCTACTTATTATATCAGTCATATCATCACATACCTTATCTGGAGTCATCAGCACAGTAGGTTCACTTTTTATTGCAGACGGATGAATGTTAACAAACATTCCTGATTCCAGCAAACCCGTTGATCTGACAGAAAACAGCACAAGTTTTAATTCTGATTAATTTTAAAATTCAATCTTTTTTTTTTTTCCAGAAGATAGAGATAGCCACTTCTGAATACAATTTACATACCTTGCTGTTTCATTGTCTGTTACAAAAGTTGGGGTTGCAGCTAATGGACTACGGAGATCTTTCCGAATGTAGATCTTTTCTGTAGAAGCTGCACAGTTCGAAGATTTTTCTCTTGACACTTCAATAGGTTTCCTCTCACACTGTACAGCTACAGAAATAATATCCAACTATTAAATCACCCTGAATTACAGAATAAGAAGTAATACTTTTTTCTTTATTTAATATTTGTTTTTAATAATAATCCTGAAAATAGCTAATATATATATATTAAATATATCCCATAACCACAAACTAACAAGTTGGATAGAACCAGCACACCAACTTGATGAGTTCTAAGTGAAATGATGTAGTAGTCAAAGTCTGAGATGGAAATTATTGCAACATTTTAAAGTTTAAATTAAGTGAGACATCCCCTCATTTTTAACTTGAATCAAAGTGGCAGCTTAAAGCTTCTCATTCTCTCAGTTTCACTATCTCACATTCTCACTTCATTTGTAAAGGACTGGTGGTACGTTTTTCCATGGATTGTGGGTCTGTGTTAATCCATATAACTTCATTCACTTGATGAAGCTTCTCAAGTTAGGACCTCAGACAATACAGAGGGAAAGGTACATTCACAAAGTTGAGTTCAGACCATTTAAGATAAATCTGGGCAAGACCCTGGCCCACAGGGTCCTGACTTCAGAGAATAAGTGGATTTTTAAATTTGAATAACTCAGTGAAACAAGCAGAATGAACTGGGGCTTTAGCCTACAAATGTATAATCTTGCTTTGAACATTAAAATGAAACTTACAGTATTACCCTCTATAGGGAAAATGTGGAAATGTGAAAAATGTGTAACTTCAGATAAAAAATTAAAAACTTTTCAAGATAGCAGTAGACTGTGATGCTATTCAAATTTTTACACTGATAAGCATCTTAAACCCCATATGTTGTAATTTTAAGTATTGACAATGCTATTGAAGTCAGCCTGCAACCCACAAATAGTGCTTTAAAGGGTGGGAGATGGAGGCAAGTATTTCATCTTCCTTTGTAAATGCTGTGCTCAGTAGCTCTCACTTTGCTGAGAAAAGGCCCAGGCTTCTTCAAGGGACAAATAACCCTCACTGAGGGAGCTACAGTCCAAGACCATGTTAAGTTTTCTTTCCTTTCCTTTCTCCACCCCACTGAGGAATGAGACTTCTTATCACCAAACAGTCCTCTCTCCCACTCACTATTCCCTCACGACCAAGAGATTATTTTCCTGCCTTCTGATCCCTAAGCCAAGTGATTTTGCTCTGCTTAAAAAGTCTTCTGTGGAGGGGCCTTTTCTTACTTACTGCCAGCTGAACTAGAGGGTAAAGATCCACTTTCACTGCCCCAGCTTTTCCTCCCTTTCTGAATTAATTTCCCCTGTGTTACTGATTTCTGCTGACAGAGGCAGGGCTGTAAGGAGGAAATGTCCACAGAAGTTCAAGAGGGTCAGTAAAATAAGTGCAGGATGACAGAGAGCAGAGAACAAGACCAATACTGTATGTACTACAACAGTGTCACAGTATTAGGTCTGAAGAATTTGTGTTTTCTGTGATTTTCTGTGTATTTAGTATTCTGATACTGCTGTGATATTGCACTACCACTACATCTAATGCATGGAAAACTAGAAAGGAACTTGGAATCTGCAGGAATCGGTAAGAACTGAACTTTAGGTCACTGTGGATCTCTGCCTTGTGAATAACTGTCTCTGCAGAGCTTTGCCAAAAGTGAACAGCAATCTCAGTTGTGGAAAAAATGAAAGGAAAGTAGAGTTCAAAAGTTCAGTAACTTAACCTGAACTGCACAAAAAAACTGCAGACATGTTTGATATTTGCCACATAGGAGTAACAATTCATTCACTTTCAACGTGTGGGATGGAGCTTATTAAGCTTTTAAAGCAAACACCTGAAAGCATTTAACAATTTGATACACCAAACTTCCTTAAAAAGAAAAAGATACAACGATTTAAAAATATGTAACCAAGATAACAATTTGTATCTATATAAAGCATATCTTTTGTAGCACGAAGCAGCTGGCAGGGGAAGAAGTTTGCTTTTATTCAGACTCACAATCCTGTTTCATCCCAAAGGCGATGCATCTCTGCAGCCTACAGTACTGGCAGCGATTCCGGTGGTGCTTGTTAATGACGCAGTCCTTTGTTCCTCGGCAGGAATAAACCAAATTTTTCCGTATACTCCTTTTAAAGAATCCTTTGCATCCCTCACAGGTTACTGCTCCATAATGACGCCCTAGTTACAAAGCAACAGAAAACCTGACATTAATTTTACAGTATCATATTCATTTTATAGACTTGACATTTATTAAAGACAAAGTATTAGCTATTTTACCCAGAAAAGGAACACTTGTTTTTCCCATTGCAGATCTTAAAATATACTGGGGCTATAAAACATAAAAAACCAAGAACTATTTTTCTAGTTCAAAGCTCTTAAACAAGATTTTACAAACAAGCAAGTTGCTTATCAAATTATTTCCTTATCTGTTGGCAGCAGTGTTAAAAAACACTAAGAAAATGGGTCAGTAAGAATATAGCAAAAAAATTTAATTTATACATTCCTCTAGTGATTTTCCTGTGATTTCTCATTACAATTTCAGCTGTTGAAATTGTATGCCTTAAATCTAACGCAACAATGGAAAGTGCAAACACGGCATTGACAGCATGAGGCAATCACTTCAAAGCTTTATTTTCACCTTTCATTTTCCTAACAGGGTAATGGTATGTCCATAGTTCTTGCAGTAAAACATCAATGAAAGAATAATCTAAAATAAGTAAAATGTTTTTTTTGAAGACCAGTTCTGCAAGTTTTCTGTATAATATAAAAATTTCTATAATATACTACAAAAAGTAAGATTTTATTTTTAGAAGTAAATTATTTTGATTTTGCATAAAATAGAAACACTAATAAAAAGGATTGATGAAGGCATGCTTGGCCGTTACAACAATTTTAATTTATGAATCCTTGAAATATATATGGCACATTACAAAATAAATCATAAATATAACCTAATTTAGGAGAAAACGTTTTAAGGTTCTTTCCTGAAGTTTCTAGAAATTCTGACAGGTTTTCTAGATTCCTCTATGACAACCTTTTTACCACTACTAAAATGTGAAATTTCAAAAGCATCATATGTATTAAAAGAATATTGTCTGAAACATTTTAGTAGCAGCTGGATTATGAATATTCATTCTGCAAAGTAGCTGGGCTGCTTTTTCACCTACTCTTTTGATTTAGCTTCTTGGATTCCAGCTTGGAAGTATCTGCAAAGCAGTTTTCATGACAGTGCTTTTCACATGGGAGGCTCCCCAAAACCTGCAGCTGCTCAGAGGAACATGGCACTCTCCCCAGAGTCACTACCACTGCCCAATATTCCAAGGGCAGCACAGGAGGAAAACCTCCTTGGATCTCCAGCCCCTGAAGGGAGACTCCAGCCCTCCTCTGGGGAGTCAGAGAAGTTTTAACAATTAGAACATACCGAACAGATCTTTGCCTTAAGTTTGGCAAGAATTTCCTTGAGATGGGTGAGGTCTGACAAGTATTTAGAGCTCTAGCAACTGTATTTTTTATGCAAAACTTTGCCAATTTTTTGAAAAAAATATTTAATATATTTTACTTTCTAGCAAGCTGGCTCCCTGCTGAAGGGAGACCTCACAGTGGTCTGCAGGTTCCTCACAAGAGGAAATGGACAAGCAGGCACTGACCTACTCCCTCCAGTGCCAGGACCCAAGGAAATGGCACAAAGCTGGTAAGGGAGATTTTAGGTTATATTTTAGGAAAAAGGTTCTTCACCCAGAGGGTGACTGAGCACTGGAACAGGCTCCCCAGGGAAGTGGTCACAGCACCAGCCTGACAGAGCTCAAGAAGAGTTTGGACAAGGCTCTCAAGCACAGGGTGTGACTCTTGGGGTGTCCTGTGCAGGGCCGAGAGTTGGACCTCAGTGACCCTTGAAAGTCCCTTCCAACTCAGGATATTCTATCATTCTATGTAAAACAACAATAAATTCTATCCATGGATACTAGAGTACCACTTAGTGAAATTCTCCACTGCGTGTATAGAAATTTATACATGTATATGCATGCAAACTGTTACACAGCTTCAGAAGAATTTTAAACTGCCTTTATAAAATTGCACCACCTTAAAAAAAAGAAAGAAAAAACCAAATACCTGATGCTTTGTCTCCACACACAACACACAGATCAAACACTTTATTTAGGCCCTGTTCATTGGGGGAGTTGTCCGTTAAAATCTGAAAAAAAGTGTGAAAGAATTTAATTTTTATTTTTCTTACCATCTAGAAATAATAAAATATATCTCATGCTCGTGGTTTTTGTCTAAGATAGGGGACTAAATCTACAAAGTATCGTGTTTTCTTGATTACATCTAATACTGCCATGCCACTGTGCTCCCTTTTCAGGAGGGAACAAGAGTTTTACTTGTAATGCTTTTGAGAAGAATTCAAGATCTCATTTCTCTAAATACTACTTTTGCAAAATGGACTGACATTTTGAAAAACTTTCAGCATCTGCATACTCTTACCATTTGTTCAATTTTATATTTATATACTAGTGGTTCATTGATAGTACAAAAGAGATGGAAGCACTGAACAGATGGAACAAAAAAAAAATTCTTGCAAAGGCTACTAGACCTACACAGAGGTTTATTACCTTCTTTTTTTATAATACACATAAATATGGACCAAAAGTAAATGTATTCTGGACACAACCTTTAACTTCCAACTGGTATATAGCTTGGCTTTCAGGACAGTTTGACATTACTAAAATATTCTTGTCTTGTCTCAGTCATTTATCTCTGGCACCTGTAAAGCTTTGTTAAGCCCATAATTTTAGAACCCCAGTACTACAGGGCAGGCACCAGAACATTTCACTTAAATCTTTGAAAACTATCCCACCACAACATAAATAAAGCACAGAAAAAAATCCATTTAAAAAAGGAACATACAAATCACAAGTAACAACCAAACATCATCTTGACATAGAGAAGAAAAAAATGTTCTTCTCATTCAAAAGAGAATATAGTTTAGAAGCTTTAAGAGTTTTTAACTTCTACTGTGCCTTAAAGGGAAGCCAGACTCCACATTCTTGCTTTGCATGTTCAGAACATGACCTCTGATAAAAAGGGAAGTAACCAAAACAGAAAGTACTCTCTCCTCCAGAGAGAAAATTTAGAAATTGTGCTTTTTAGAGTTTGGAACATAGTACAGATGATGTATGTAGGAAAGTTTAACAAGCATACTTCTTTCTAGTTAGCCTTGTTACCAATGCAGTCTCTGAGATTCATCTAGTATGTTTTCTTTAAAAAAGCACCTTTTTAAGAAAAATAAAAAAAGCAACTTTTTAAGAAAAATAAGATGATGAGTTAAGAGAATATTAACCTATTGATCCTTCCAAATTTCCAGTAGTAACATTATGTATTTTCATGATATTATAGAAAATAGAAATTCTAAGTCCTTCCATAAATTAAAGCTGCACTGAAATGGGAAGTTCCACATAAGGAAGGACTACAGAATCGGCCCATGAGGAGATAAAAACCCCAGACTCAGAGAACTTATGAACTGACTTTGAACATGAAGAATAAAAATTTATTATTAATATGAAAAAGAGCCACTGAAGTTAAAATAGATGATGGGAGAAAGGGTCTTGCCAAATGAGTCAATGTAAAGATAAGGTGCAATAACAGAGAGGTTTTTGGCAGAACAAACAAATGGGCCTTTCAAGTGAAGGCTACAGAAGAAGAAGAAGAAAACAGGTGAAATTGGAGATGGAAAGATCATTTGAAGGAGAAAATACAAAAGACCCCAAAGGAATGCAGGTGAATGGCAAATGAATGGTACTCTGTATTTCACGAAATTTTAAATGAACAAAGGAAATCTCTACCCATATATATCCGAGGACAACAGAACAATTTAACTGGAGTGACAGAATACCCTGTTGCTTCTCAAACTGATCTGTTTTGCCCAAATGATACAATCAGAACTACAGCTTTCAATTTTTTTTACAGATTTCCTCTTTTCCTGAATTTTGCCTTATAAACGAGTGTGGCATACTTCTCATCTCTTAAGTTGTCTTTGAAAATAATTTTTATGTGGACTACTCATACCCCACTAGTTTATATTTTTGTTGAGGCTTATCTGAAATACAAAGTGTATAACACTAAGCATGCTTCAGTGCCTCTCAATAGGATTGGCTTTTGCTACTGGTCCTATATTCACAGTAATCAAATTCTTTGGAGCAAGGACCTAGGGTATCCATTTACAAAGAACTGTGAATTTCAAAAATAGTAATATTATATAATACAGAGATTCTTTTAAGCTTACACAACGTGTAGGTAGTGAATCAGTGGACTGGTTCACAGAAGAGCACAAACTGAACAGTTAAAGAGTCTGCAGCTGAAAAGAGATTGCTTGAAAGAGGATTTTGTAGTGATCTATAAACCCCCACACAAATCCTTAATAGTATCTTCCAGTGCAAGAGACACCTAATTAAACAATTCTCTCAGATGGTCAAATAATCTAACATATTCTTGGCACCATAGGATATTATACAGAATAAAGCTTACATGATCTATATAAATAACAAAAAAAGGTTATTTAAATTTAATAGCAGCTATCAAATATGATGGTCTAACTGCAGTCTCCAAATCAGGAGGTTCCTCTGTATCATCAGCTAATGGAAGTAAAAGGATATGCTCAAAAAGATCATTATTTACTTGGCCATCTTTTAACATTTTTCCTTAAGCAGCTGTTTATGGTCACAATGTTTAAGTGTTTGATATGAGACTAAATGGACTGCAGCTCCCTGAATGTAGTCTGGCCCACCACTGATGTATTGTAACAGCAGCATAAATGTGTCTGGGTGGAGCACATGCAGTAACTGTAGTGCAGCTGGATGCAGTATCCTCCCACTTCATGCTGAAGCAGGTCACATCTCCCAGCTCTTCTTGCATGTTTCTGACACTCTTCACATCAGTGCCATGCCATCCCTGCCAGGCTGGGACAGAAAGCTTGGAAGTTGAAGGGTGGCAACTAAGGACATGGCACATACAATGTGCATGGGAGTAAGGTACACTGGGGACCGGCTAAGGGAGTTACAACCCTGCCTAGCTACAATATCACATTAGTAAACACAAAATCATTAGTGTTATTTCCTCACCCCCATAGAGTCATGTATTGCCCCACTAAATAGTCTGAGTACTGCTGTGGACTACAATTCACACAGCTAAACAGCAGTTGCAACAGTGTGCAAAAAGGAAAACCAGCAAAGGGAAATGTTAAGAGAGAAGGACAATGGAGAAAAGTGAATGTTTTTCAACAATACATGAAAACAGATAGAGTTAACGAGCAGAAATAAAGGACTGTTGGCATGGCAGAATCTGGAAATGACAATAAAAGTAACTGTATTCTTCCTAATGTCATGAGCCAACATATAAATTTTAAAAGCAAGAAATTTACTAAAAAAAGTTTTTTCATAATTTTTAAATATCCACAGTGAATCGTAGTGCAAGGAAAATTATACTTAAAAAAAACCCAAAAACCAAAAAGGAGAACCCAGACAGACTTATTTGGAAATAAAACATCTTTTCTTATCCCATTTGAATGAAAAATATGAAATAAAGTGGATTATCTACCTGGATGTGTTGTGCAGATATATCAGGGGATGCAAAAAACAGTTGGTTGACACCTGCAGCATCTGGAGTTGCTAGGATAACTTTTCCTGGAGTGGAATCTTGTCTGGCAAGGATCACCTTGCTTGGGGTAGAGCCATCATGATTTGTTAAGATGAACTGCTTGCCTGCTGAGCTCTGATCAAGTGATGTAACAATCTGAATCTTCTGGCCCGTCTGCTGATCTGTGACAATCTAATAATACATTTATCTCAATTGTTATGGTGATTTAACCTTTTGGACCCAATCCGGGCACTTGAGGAAAATGGGATTTTGCCTTTCACATTTGAGAAGCAGGATCATCTTCCCATCCATCACACAAGGGCAAATTAAACTCAGGCAAAAACTTGGATTTTTCACTGTATTTGAAACACATTTCATTCAAGGGTGTTTGAAGTAAAACTTGAGTTTGTACTCAATTTTTACAACTGACACATGTTTTTACAACACTACTGAAACTCCTGACAATTCTAACATCCAGAACTCAAGGCATGTCTGTAGCTGAGCCCTAAGATCCATCAGGTTATAAGAAATCTTAAATCTTGAATTCACTGCTCTCTACATGAAGCGTTTGCAGCACCTCCAAGGTTTGGTTACTTAACACGGAACTTCTTAAAACCACAAACGTAGATGTCCAAGTGAAAAAAGTAAGCAGTAAACAGCAGGAAAAGCAATTATATTGTTGCACCTGTATATACATTTTAGGCTTCATTTTGTGGGGACCTTTTTTTACATATACATTTCTAAATAAATTAGTGAAACAGAATTTCCTTCCCTGCCTTTTTTTCTTTTCTTTTTTTAAGGAAAAAGAACAGATCTACGGTGTGTTTTTTTCCATTTTATCCCTGTTTTCAAGCACAAATACAGCGGAATTTTATTAAATAATCCTCCACTTTCTGCCAACTTTGTCAGAAGATTATAATCCTCAGAGAAAATAATCAGGATTATATATATATATTCCATTATAAATCTCACTTTTAGTCACTGCATATCTCCTTAAAAATGTCTATATGGAAAACTGCCTGGTTTATTCTGGAGACTAAGGAGAATTATCCTACAAAGACTGTTTCCTGCAAACTATTTTGAATTACAGATCAATAAAATAGCTCCTATTAACTTGTTTTTTAAACTGTAGACAAACGTTTATGCTTAACCACACATCCCTACCATTCATATTACAGATATGAATTTAATTTTTATTACAGATGACATTTATTTAATTGTCTAATATTCACCATAACTTGTCCCCCATAATTGGGGTGCCAATATTAATTGTATTCCTAGGTGGAGAACTATGGCACAAAGAAACTGAACGAGGCATAATTTCACATGAATTCTTTATCAACTTTGCTATTACACCTTCACAACAGGGTTATTACTTTCTCTAAATGCCCAATGCCTGTGTATAGTTTGCATTTTAAAAAGATAAGCAGTGATGAGTATCCAATTTCAGCAGTTATAACGCAATATTGCCACTTTCAAATATTCATAAATCATGAGTTTCATTACACAAAACAAATGTGTTTCCTTCGGGTGGCCTTGTGCTCTTAACATTTTAATGAATGAAAACTCAAATCTTTTTTTCTACACAATATGATTAAAAGCATATCTAAGAGAAAAGTGCAGGTAAATGATGACATTCTAAATGCTAAAGAACAAAAGTTATTATGGGATTTGGGGCGTAGGGTGAAAAGACAATGCTAAAACATGACAATAATTATCGACATGATAAATTTTCTGTTCAGTTTTTTCATATATTCTCATGACTGGGACCACATATGGCTACAGCAGACCATTATTTCTTCTTTAAATTCCTTTAGATTGGTTCTATATTCTTTAGAAGGCAAACTTCCTTGCCCTTTTCACTTCCCTTCATTCCTTAATTTAATTTTCTTTGTTCCATTTTCCTTCATTCACAATCTTTACTTCTCTTGTAATTTTTGGCTATTTCCAAAGTAGCTGATATTCCATTCCCCTTCTTTCCAAGCATCTATTTTATTTGGATTAGGAGAAATCCAATGTATATTATGCTCAACAGGGTGCATAGATGTACAAAAACCAAACAGAACACTGCGCTGTTTTTTGAATGTCCAGACCTGCTCTTTGAAAGACACTCTTAACTAAAATCTGTCTCCATATCAAATCTTAAGAGCATAACTGTGAGTACCCCAAAAAAGGTACATATTCCATCTAGTTAGGTTTATAAAAAGTATACCCAAAAACCAGCATGCCCCAAACAGTAAAGACACAAACTTGAAGTACAGCTGAAACTATTTTTGGAACACATATACTAAGTCATCTTTTTTCCTACTGTAGCCCAGCTGTGTAATTAAAAAAATATATGTACTTGTAGATAAATATGGCAGGACAGTAGGCAGAAGAACCACTGATACTTCACCCAATTCACTTCACCTTCTATTTAACAAATAGAGTCCCAGTCTTCAAATGGGCTCCTGCAATCCTAGGAGGATGCCCAGGCAGTTTTCACTACATGATAAAGTAGGTATAGTGCTACATTAATATCCTTACAAAGCTATTCAACCTGCACAAGTGATTTCTGCACCTGACAAGCATCTGACAACTGACAGAGCCATGAGAGAAAGCAGTTTAAACATTTAAGCACATTCTTGACTGCAACTGACTCTTATGGCCATACACCTGCAAAACTTCCACCTACACTGCAATGGGGACACTGAGAAGTGGAGCAGTTCAGCACAGCACAACAACTTGCAATACCTAAATGTCAAGGTAAGAGAAAAACGTTGTCAAAGGGAAGAGGAAAAACACTTATCTTCTGACCACGAATCCACCACGAATCAGTGACAACACATTATCTTTCTTAATAACCTGAAACTCAGTATTGCTATAACAGTAATATTATAAAACAGGAATATATCAATTCAGGATTGACTGCATAAAAAATACACTACCCTCATGTATTTCAAATAAGCACCCTGATGATAATGGAAGATGTTATTTTCCTTTATTGCTTTTAAGCCTTGTTTGTTAACAAGTTTTGATTTCCATTTGAACATCATTTCAATAAATTAAACACCTCAGTATCTGTGTGTTCCTATTTTACAAAAAAGAAAATGTCTAAACACAGACAACTAATGCACTTGTTTATAACAGGAACAATTTTGTGCAGAATGCCTGTTGAACAAATGTAACATTCAACTTTTCTCCCAGAAGAAATGCTAGCATTCCCTAAGAGTGAATAATGAAACATGTTTTAAAGAATCTTCTACTGAGGATTTTCTATTTCATTGTTTCAGATAATTAGGTGCATTTAATAATAATAAAGGAAAAAATAATGATTGGAAATATAAACTCAAAATTATTAAATGTAGCATTTATGTTGGACATTTCACAGAGATACATTTATTCCTACAAATTACTTTGCTCTTCACATAAATCCTTCTCTGAGCAGTTTTTATTACTAAGTTTGATACTGATGATGTTTGTAGATGTCTCTTGCAGGAAGGATGAGTGTTTTGACTGAGTGTTGTTCCACACACATCAAGAGACAACAGCCAAAGTGCTTACCATCCTTTTTGAAGACAGAATGCTGTTTAATTGATGAGCACGAATTAATTAATAAAAAGTACAGCTGTACAGGAAGTGTAGAAACAGAGCAGAGGCAGCTGAAAGAATGAAGACCTACACGATTGGTAAGACACATACCACAACTAGAGCACAGGTGGGGGGGTAATAAATCTAAAAAAACCCCATATTGTATGGGGGGTGGTTGTGAAGAGCCTTGGAAGGTTGAAAGCTTGCACATAATGCACCAAAACAGGAGAAAAACAGAGGACAATGTTTAGAGTGAAGCTGGTAAAAGAAAAAGCAGCCAAGAGTATACTAGCAGCTGGCTCACTTAAATGTGTGCTTTTGTATGAACAACATATATCTGAGAATATTTTTTACATTTATTCTGCAGTTGATATTTTTCTCTACAATGAAAATTAAAAATAAAACTGATTTGCACTGACTTCTAAGGCATAAAACATAACATTTCATTCCCCAAATGTTCCTAGTCTCCATAAACACATTTCTGTGTTAAGTACCTACATTGCCAAAAACTTCACTACCCTCACTTCAGCTGGAGGTTATTACTTGGCCAGGTTATGGATTATAATACCAAGAGATACAACATGGGTTGGGACAACCAAAAATCAGTATTCTTCTCAGACATGAAGTTTCTCTGCACTTTTTCGTTACTTCAAAGATACAGTGCAGTATTTCCCTCCCCGCTTCTGCTCCAAAATGTAGAAATCCTCCAACTTAGTTGAACTACCAAATAGAAAAAATATTCAACTTTCAAGGAATTGCTTCACTTGCAAAAAGTATTTTTCTGTTCAGTGATTTAGGATTTTTGTGATGTTAAAATTCTTACAAGGGAAAAAGAAAAAAGGAAAGAGAGGAAAGACTGGAATGCTGTTTTATTCCTATTTATACAGAAAGGGTCTCTGCCATTTGGGGCTGAATATTTACATTAAAGCAAATAACATGATGAAAACAAAAAAGAACTGCATGTGGAAACTGGCAGAAGCAAATAGCTCATCTCTGCTTTTAAAATGCATCAGATGAAGCATACCTGTATACGCTGTGATAAAGAGAGGCCCGAATCTGCAGGGACAATCTGTATTCGTTGTGCTGTCCCATCCATTAGTGTTTGTGTACCACCTTCCTGGGAATGTGTAACCTAGAAAGGAGAAGCAAATGTCATGGACTGACAACAGATATACTGTTTAAATGGAGCCACTACCTTAATGGAGTAAACCTTCAGGTTTCATCAACTTCCAATTTCTCTGAACAAGGCCATGGAAAGTCTGACAGTCTTATTCTATAAAAAATGTGAATGCTTGTAATCTAATTCAACACCTTAATTTTTCTAATTAGAAAATTCTGATTTAGACCCATTTCAAAGTACCCTCCAATGTGAAATTTACAAATACCTTAAGTGAAGCAATTAATTGTTGACACTTCCCTGTATGGCAACACTGGACCTGAATATTTACTACTGTTGATATTCATGAGACACAATACCTACCATCATAGCTGTGCTATGTTTGCAATACATGTACCTTAATGGCTCACTTGAAGTGACAGAAGGTTTTTTGTATGGAAACACAGCAATTGGCAGTTTCAATTCTGTTTTTCTGTTAAAGAATTCTATACTGGAGAGCTATTAACAGACGTAGGGAAAACTAATAAATTGCGTAAAGTTTGCAAACAGTGTACCTTGTATTAAAATCTCTGTGTGAATGCTCTCAAACACAATTCATTGAAGTATTTTAACAATTATCAGTATTTAAAAAATTCTTCACAGCCTACAGCCAATGGCATGGGGGGAAGATATTGTGTTATTCATTACATTATCTGTCAATAAAAATTAAGGACAGCTGCTATTTGTAGAGGCTCGATCAGAAAGGCCAGATTTTTTGCACTACAAAGAGAATTTCTCTTCACAGAGTTTACAGACAGCTTCAACCTGAAATTTTTGTCTTAAGTTCCCAGGTAACTCCAAAACCTTTTTGCTATTCACAAAACTGCCTGCAACATCCTACAAATCTCTATTACCAATAATTCCCAGTATTTACACCATTATACCAATACATCTCTGCACCTCATTGCCCCTCTGCCCCTCCCAATTAATATAGAGAATATATATGTATATTGCAGTAAAGGTACAATTTCATAAGAGTTTGTGAGGCTTTTTGTTCCTCCTGGATCAGCTTCCTGATTTTGCAACCATACCATCATCTAAATGCTAGTATCAGCAGACAAAAGCAGGCCAGAACACACAGCTCGAGGTCAGTATGAGAGAGGGATGGGGTGGAGGGTAAGACTTCCCCTTCTAGCAGAAATACAAGTTTCCATTAGCCTATGTTGATTTTAAAATTTTGCCCAAAAAGGTGCTACTTTTGGTAGCAATCTCATAATCTACTTGCTCCTCTCCCCTCAGTGTGGTAGGTAAAACTGTCTGGTCAGTCATTCCGTGATCTGGAACAGGACACCGGTGCAGGCTGAAAAGCAGCCCAGCAAACAAAGGCTATTCTTAGCACAGATCTTCTTCAATCCAGTCTCCACAATGCTCAGAAGCAGATGCATCAGAGCAAATGACTGAGGCTAATCTGCTGGGGAGATTACTTAAACTGCCAGCACCACCAAAAGAAATGCTTGTCAAACTACTGCTGAGTCATTTCTGTACACTGCTTTCTAAAAATACCCAATTTTTCTGAGTACAAGTACTTTTCAATAATATCTGCTTCTCTGCTTAAGTAAAGGACAAAACCTGTTCATCAACGAGCAGCATTTTCAGTTCAAGAGAGGTACTTTCAAGCACTGAAGCTCTGCATCAGCCACTCAAATCGGCAGGTACATGTGGTGATTCAGAAGTGATTAAAGTTTTACGTGCATTTACCTTTGCTTTACAAAATAAGCTACATGCTATAGAACTGCTTCACATTTGCTCCCTTAAAATGTCATGATCCACATGTACTTTTTAGCCCCACAAAATGTCAGCTTGACAGTTTTACTTCTATGCAGAACACAAGGTTTTTTATTTCAGTTAATATTGATAAGTGTAACTGCAAAATTTGTTTAAAATTGTACTTTTTATGTGTGTCAGACTGTTTCAACAATGATATAGCTTTCCTCTGTTACAGCAAATTGGCAGGACTGTGGAAATGAACCACCATAGTTTAGTGTATCCAGCCAGAGATTAAAGAAAGAATGCTCTTGGCAGGTAGCTTTGCTACGTGATTCAAGAAATGTGGTCTTGATACAGAAATAGGAATTATTTTGCACTGAGCAAAAGATGACTAGCAGATGGCAGAATCTGAGCAACGACAATCACTCCACAATGCTCCATACAGACAGGGTTATATTTTGCTTCGATGTTTTGCTTTCATGTAAAAAGCCCCTAAATTAACAAAAGTATGTTTGTGAACACCATTGTAAAACTGTTGTGGTAATTTTGTGATTTAAAATGCTTCATGAACAACAATTAACATTATTTAAAAAATCAAAATCTATGTACAAAACACTTCTGATCATTATTTCAATGAGACACAGAAGAATTTCCATTATCCTCAATAGTGGAACACATTTTCCTTTCAGGTCTTCTTCCTTTCAGGTTCTACTCATGTAAATTTTTCTTGTAAATTAAATTAAAACTACTTCAACAAGACTATTATAAATGCTAGCAAAAATACTGCTGAAGCTCTCTAGATCTTAAACTATGATTTTTCAGTGATTAGGAAATGCCACCAAGCAGTTACAGCCTGTATGTAGGCAGGAATGTAAGTTATTGCATGGAGGCCCCTGTGAGACTGCTTTCCTTGCTGATTCCACCTTTCAGACAGCACATTCATGCATGGCATGGACCTTTGACAACCATTTTGGCTTAAGGAGTCCCAGCTTGCACTGCCCTCAGGGATGCTTTTCAGTCCTTCCAACCATGTGCCTGGTTGGGCCGCACCTCATACGAAATAGGGACACTGATCACAGCCAACAGGGAGATGACCTTCCTCCCCTATGCTGTCATTAATTTTCTTTCCTAGTTTTGTCCACAGCATGATTACACACAGAGCTTACATGAGCAAGACTAGCACAGTGTGAGAATAAATGGCCAAGTGAGGACTGGGGAATGGTTAAGCTGCACTGCTGCCAAATACAGTGTGACCATCTCAGACACAGTAAAACCTTGCTAAAGCACAAATCCTAATCTACACTGCTGACAAAACAACAGCCATGAAAACTGTACAGCTGTGATTTCACCATGAACAAGAACAGCTACAGCTCTCAGGAGCACTGCACCTTCATTCTCCCTGTTTTCTCCCCTGCCTTCCTTTGGCTACCAGTCATTTTCTTTGTGCTGGCTCTGGTAGTCACTGGAGCCTTCTCAGACCCTACTCTATGCTAACCCAACAGAAAACCTTCCACTTGTTTTGGCTGGGTTATTAGCTTGCTCTTGGTGGGGAAATTAACAAGGAAAGAAACAGAAAAAGGATCCTGTCTCTCCCATGATACTGAGATACTAAGTCAGCTCAGTGTCTCCTGGAATCACATTACGAAATTGAGAAACAAACCCCAGAGGCAAAACACCTTCATCACACCATCCTGAGGGGAATGTACGCTTCAGCTAGCTTTGGCTAGCCTTGCACTGTCAAACCAAACCAATTTAAACAGGAAATACCGCCCTATTTAGACCTCAACCAAGAATTACAGTCCCAAAACAAAACTGCATTAAACACGTGTTCTCACCTAATGAAGAGGACAAGCAATAACAACCAAACATCCCATAAACCACTTATGTCCTTTGAGATTGCCTTAGCAGCACTCAGAACAACTCATGCTACAAAAATAAAAGCTGTGAAAATTTATTCAGAGTAGAATTAACCATCCCATCCCCCACTCCAACCTTTCCATCTGAAATCAATGCTGAGAGGAAATAAAATTACTTGAGAAGTCTACGTCTAGACAAGAATCCAAGAGTGGATATTTCAAGCTAAAAAATAACATTTATTGAAGATAAATAAATTACTGCCTCTATCTAATTTAAAGTGGTGTTAATTTTAAATAGTCCATGCTATGCTGAAATTTTCTAGATAACTATGTACACCCATATCCACACTCCCAAACTATCTGTGTATCTCTGGCAGTTCTCTGGCTGCAGTACACAGATTCTGCACATAGGTCACACAGAACCAAAACTAGAAATCTGCAGAAACAGGAGCTCAATCTTTCTTTTGACACATAGCAAGCACATATATCTGAAAGTGAAGAGCATGGCAAAACTTTACTAGTGAAGCCAAAAATGACAAATGAAGTAATTGCATAGTTGTGTCCTGACTTTTTAAACTAAAAGGGAGTAAAGCAATTACACAACCAGATGGCTCTCTGAAAACCACTACAGGCTCAGACAGCAAGCTGAAAAGCTAGTGACTTAGTGGAAAGCCTGCTAGATTGTTCTTAATTTTTGTGGGGTGCACTTTGGCAAAAACGGCTTTGCAGTGTAACTTTAAAATGGACATAGTAGGCTCTTCTTCCTTCTGAGGAAGTGTCCAGAAGCCTTGTCTGTATCAAAAATTTTATTTTGTGATTTGGGCTTTTACATGTCAGTCTGTGCATTTTATTATTCAATTTCTCTTATATAGGACTCAAAATTTATGTACCTCTCCCATTTGCTGTTCAAAAATTTGATGGGTCAGTTCCTCTATGGTTGCCATGATCTTTAATCACCAGAATTTCCTGTCAAAGAAAGGAGAGAAGATGCTTAACATCTGTAGTTTCAAATGTAAAAATATTCTGGGGAAAATATAGTTCACGTAAGTGTGTTCACAGTTTTATGAAGATGACATCCCTGCAGAATTTAAAGTATGCTCATACTATAAAAATAAATAATTTGCTATTTGAAAACCTTGTATTGTTTTATTTAAATAACTCACACAGAGACTTCCTATTTTTTCCTCTTCTGCTTTTCCAAGAAGCAACAATAAAATCACTGTGAGAACAGAAGTCTATTACTGACCATGACATCAGCAGGTCCATGTTTAACATCTTAAAAAACTGGAACACAGACGGTTTTTGTTAATGTGAATCAAGAGGGGCAAATCTAACTTCTGGACCCATACAGATTTTTTAGTATTAACAGGAGTGCTTGAAGGTCAATTTTGTAACTAACAGGCAGCAGTACTTGGGACACAGAAGGTAAGTGTTTAAAAAAAAGATAATGTTTCATTATCAATACTGCAGCCACAGCATGAGCCCAAATCTTCCTAAGAAGAATTTTGTGGGGTTTAACAGACACTGCTACATTAATGCAGCAAAAAGGATTCAGATGCATGCCTTGTTTATTTGTCAAGGCATACATTATGTGTTATATTATTGATATACAAATATTCACTACGCAGTACTTAAAAGGAACATTCACAGCTTATAAAGCACCATATAAACAATTTTACTGACAAAAGCAAATTAAAAACACTACAATACCTACCTCTTGTATGAACAAAGACTACTCTTCTACTCTTACACTAATACTGGTTTTTGTTCTTTAACTTTTCTGGAACTCCTAGGAATTACCAACTCCTCAATAAAACTTGAAACCTCCCCAATGAGCCATGCAAATAAAAAAAATAACTCACTTTTAACTCAAGTTTAACTCAAGCTAATTCTGCTCTTAAAATTGGAAAGAGAAATATTTTTTGACTAGAGCAAGAATTGCAGGCCTTGGAGGCATGCCCAATGGTATACTAAAGCCTAGTTAATGTGTGAAAGGGGAAATACAGAAATATTTGTGCATTAGACCATTCTTAATCACTCATTAGCATGCTGCATTATTAGTTAAATTAGGACAAAAGATAACAGGCATGCATATAGAGATATGATACTGAAGCTTATGCTGAAAATCATTATCTCCTAGGAAGATCTAGGTGTCAGCATCCTTGCAGGAGCACTCTATTACCCCACTTCTGCATCCAGTGAGCTGCAGCACAATCACTATTCAAAGAGCACTTGGAATTTTCAAGGCAAGCAATGTGTCTTATCAATGTTTTCTTCTTTTAAATAAAATACTAGCAATCAAATATTGTACTGTTAACATACAGAGTGCCAGAAATGAGTGCTACTTTCATTACACAGTAACAAAGAAATCACTTTGAGGTCTTAATTTGCACCAGCTCGTTAGTTCTCCTAAATCAGATGCAACTGCCCTCACAGTCAAGATGTGAGCTAAGTAAAACAGCTTAGCTTGAGGACTGAAAGTGATTTAAACTGGCATGTTTCACCTTGGAGTAAAGCAGTGAAGGAACACATATGTATGCAACTACGATGCACCAGTCGTAGGGAAACTGGCTCTCAGAGAGGCATAAACCTGGCAGAGAATTTTTGAAACTTATCTAAAACAGACTCATTTGAACTGCACTTGCATGAACATAGGACACCAAGTACACAAACAAGACTGAACTCTTATGATGAAGAGGAACCTGGAGAAAAGGTGGAACCTATCCTACCTCTTCATGCTGTCTGGAACAAGCACAAGGTGGTTCAACTTAGGGATGCAGAACCAGCTGTCAAAGCTACACAAATCATGAGTTTGAGGCATGCACACACTGGAAAAGGAATGTACTCACTATTATTGACAAGAATTTACATATTACTCACAAGGTGTTTTATATTTGGAGACTTGCACTTTCAATTTGCATAAATACTAAGAAGTAGATTCTTTTGTGTCTTGTTGCTTTATTTAACTCAGCGATCCCTAAACCAAAGGGCACTGACAAAATCAGTATTTGTAACACCAGTACTCTGTACTAAACTATCTAAATTGAAATCACCTCCAATAAACCATGTAACTTTGCTCTGAAGAGCATGTATAACAGTGAAAAAAAATCAGCTTCAATATTTCAAGTATAAACTCTTAGACAACATTTCATGTTGCAGATATGGAGAGCTTAAATAGGCATTCCTATCCCATTTTCCATTTTTGGCTTATAATTTCATCTCTTCATGTGCTAGCATACACATAATGCCTGAGAAATCAGTTCGAGTAACTGAACTGGCAGAAACTTCTTTCTTACTTGCCAAGGTAAGGAGTAATTTCAAAAGCACTTTGAACAGAATTTACAGCTCACTCCCAGGAAGGAGGTTCTGCTCACCCTGAGCAAGCTGCAGTGGTCTTGACCCCACTTTTCCAGTAGGAAAATTCAACTCACTAAAAGGAGAGAAAACTCAGCTGGCAGAAATGCACCAAACATCATCTAGGTAAGCACAATGAACTTGATTTCTTTTGCAGTCAGATTCATTCTATTGCAGCCAGAAAGGAGAATAAGTTGTTATAAGTCAAGAGAGGGAGGAAAAGAAGGAAGATTCAAGGAGGAGGCAAATCTTCATTCCATTGTTACTGGTGGGAAGCAGATAATTCAGTTGAACTGCACCACAAAACTGTACCCATTGCTTTTGGCCCAGCCAGATGGCTGACACAGGTCACTCTGGAGTCACACAAGCCCACAGGCACCTGAGCAAGAAGCCAGGTCCTCCCTCTCAGGAGCAGCTGTGTTAAGCTGTTCATCTTGTGCTGGGGACAGGGGAGCAGGAGAGCAGGACAGGTCAAGGAGAACTATCTACAAGTTCTCAGCTAAAATCTACAGATTTTTACAGCTAACTCAGCTGTAAAAGGTTTTGTAGTTCTTATTTTGCTTACCTAGGGTATCTGTGTTAGACTTCACATCAGGTATGCTTAATCACTTTTTAGACATCCCTGCAAGGAATTAAGCAGAAAAAAAAATCGCTTCAGCTGTTTTTCTTCTGTTATGTAAATTTTAAAATTTTGCACATTTTTCATATTTTTAAAAGCTTATTTTCCTGAGTTACTCCAGCCAATATTCTCAGTGGCTGAATTGTTTCACATGAAATAATAAATATATTCTAAATTCAAAGCTACCTGAAACTGAGAAATGTTCCATAAACTCCTCATAACCTTCATTTTCCAGCAAAGAAAATTACTTGAGGGATGAAGGAAAGGCCATGGATGTTGCTTACCCAGAGCTTAGCAAAGCTGAGACCTGACACCATTCTACCCCAGCATTCTCCTGGACAAACTGGCAGCTCATGGCTTGACCAGGGTTGCCTGGGTAGAAAACTGGCTGCCTGGCTGGGCCCAGAGTGGTGGTAAATGGAGCTACATCCAGCTGGTGGTCAATCACCAGTGGTGCTCCATCACCAGTGGTGCTCCCCAGGGCTCAGTACTGGGATCAGCCCTCTCTAGCACCTTTATCAATGATCCAGATGAGGGGATCAAGGGCACCCTCGCTAAGCTGTCAGATGACACTGAGCTGGGCAGGAGTGCTGAACTGCTGGAAGGTAGGAAGGCTCCGCAGAGGGATCTGGACAGGCGGGATCAAGGGGCTGAGGCCTGGGGATGCTGGTCAATAGCAGCTGAATACAAGCCAGCACGTGCCCAGGTGGCCAAGAAGGCCAATGGCATCCTGGCCTGGATCAGCAGTGCTGTGGCCAGCATGACCAGGACGGTGACCATCCCCCTGTACTCAGCACTGGTGAGGCCACACTTCAAATGTCATGTCCAGTTCTGGGCCCCTCCCTGCAAGAAAGACTCTGAGGTGCTGGAGGCAGTCCAGAGGACAATGGAGCTGGAGCACAACTTGGTTGTTCAGCCTGGAGGGTTCAGCCTGGAGAAAAGGAGGCACAGCAGAAACTTACTGCTCTCTACAAGCACCTGAAAGGAGTGAAGTTGTACCAGGGGAGGTTTAGATTAGATACTAGGAAAAATTTCTTCACTGAAAGAGTAGTCAGGCATTGGCACAGACTGCCCAGTTGGAATTGCTATCCCTGGAAGTGTACAGCACCAGGCCTAGTGACAATCACAGGGATGCTGGGTTAACAGCTGAATTCAATCTTTTTTCAACCTTAATTATTCTAAGTATCATCAGTCTGAGTTTTGATCTTCAATAACCAGAAGTGATCTTCAAGGTGTTCTCATCTAATGTGAATCTTCTTGCTTTCAGAAATGCTCTTTTCCACGCTTGTCAAAACCATGCCATACACATTCAAAGAACACAGCAGCCCATATATGAGAAATGTTTATTGCTAGTATAGGAAAGAAGTAGATGGAGTCAATTAATTGTCAGTTTTTCCTTAGAATAGTCTCTTCTCCTTTCAAAATGAATGAGACAAATCACGATAAATCAAATTTTGTTCAGATATTTAAGAGTGATAATGACATTTTTACTTCCTTTCTCACATTATCTAAAACACTGAAAGGAGGAAACCTGGAATTCTACAAGACCAGAGACCACAACATAAAAAAGCTGCACTTACTTTTAGCATCTGCTTTATAATGTCCAACAGTTAAAAGAACTGTAATATTAGTTTTATTATGACTAGAAGAGAGAAAGGAGAGCCAAGGCTCCTGCCAACACACAAGCATTATGTTGTTTAGAAACACTGCCCAAATAATTTTTGCCTTATTTATATTTCACTTTGAATACTCCTGCAAAAATGATTTTCAACTGCTGCTGTTTCAACCAGCAAGCCTATAGTTGCCTATAACAAGTACTACTCAATTGCTCTACTGGTTTCCCTTTTTCACATCAGACCAAGATCCTTGCCTTTACTTTTACCACAAAATTTCTGAAAAATGAAGTGGTAAGAAGTGCTTTGTCCCACAGCCATTTAGCCACTGACACTGTCACAGCTTAAGCTCTTACTTCCTTCTTTAACTTTCTACCATT